GAACCCGAGCCTGTGCCACTGCCCCAGCCGGAGCCCCAACCAGAGCCCCAGCCCCTGCCAGACCCGGCGCCCATGCCCGAGCTGGAGTTTGAGTCCGAGCCCACGCACGAGCGCGAGTCCACACCCACGGTGGAGACCCGAGGCACCGCACGCGGCTTTCAGCCCCCCGAGGGTGGCTTTGGCTGGCTGGTGGTGTTCGCTGCCACCTGGTGCAACGGCTCCATCTTCGGCATCCAGAACTCCTTCGGGATCCTTTACTCCATGCTGCTGCAGGAGGAAGAAGAGAAAAACCACCAAGTGGAGTTCCAAGCAGGTGAGCCGCCCCGCGCGCCCCCAAGGGGCACGCTGGGCAGTGATGTCCGCTCCCTCTGTCCCTTGGTCTCGGGTCCCTCCTCTTGCCCACGGCCTTGCTAGGTAGGATGTGGATTGCGAGCTCTGGGTAGTGTTGAAAGACGGCCCGGAGGGGGCAGCTGGGTCATTCATTGGTCACAGGCAAGGAGGGAACTTTTTGTTTTTGTCCACAGACAAATCCAGAAGCAGCTTTGGGGGTCTGTTTGTTGCTTATGTGTGTTGGGGGGCTGGAGTGGGGGTGGGGGCAATATTTACTTACATCTTTGCTTTATTTCATGTTTTCCTTTCTGTGGCCGAAGGGGAATCATAAAGAGAGGAGTGAGTTGGGAGGTGCTGGGAGCGGGCTTCCAGAGAAATAACCGTACAGCGCTTCTCCACAGCAGCCCGGGGTCCTGTGCAGGAGCCGAGGTGTTTTCTGTCAAAGACACTGAAGGAATCCTGGTAACTGGCAGCAAGAGTCAAACCCTTGGCAGACAGATGTTTGTGCAAGAAAGCAAGCGAGGAAGGGAGTGAGTGCGAGTGTGCGCCCGTCTCTGCGGGAGGGAGGTTGTTAGAGCTCAGCTAGTCAGCAGTCTCTGGTTGCTTTAGAGGAGCAAGCTGATCTCTGTACCCTCTGAACCGAACTCCAAGGCAGCCAGGGCAGCAGCCTCAGCGGTCTCCTGCCAATAAGGAATGAGGTGGCGGCCAGTGTGTGCCCTGGCTCAGTCTGCTGGGCCCCTGACCCCAGCCGTGCTCTCACTGGCGCCCTGCGCCTCTCCGTTATCCGCTGGGTGCTTCCTTTGGCCTTAACCTGGAATGCTGCCCCCCACTCTCGCTTTCGCTCCAGGCTGATTTGGTCTAAAGACGCAGAAAGGGATAGGCTTTGCTCTTCAGGTCTGCCGCTGCAGGGCCTCAGGCGAGCACTTTCCCCACCTCTAGCTCGCCCGTGGGACTGGAGACGTCAGGCAAGGCATCCTACCCGCAGCAGCCCAGCAAATCCTCAACAGTTGGGCCGACAGCCTGCGCCTTGCAACAAGGCTCCCTCCCTCCCTCTGGTATCTCCTCAGAAGAGCTCCAACTACCCCCTTCAATTTTGTGGCCCAGACAATGTAACTTTTTCCGGTGGTGGGCTTAGGGGGTCCCGTCTTTCACCACCAAACACGTCTCTCCGCCATCTGAGGAGGGCTGGGAAGTATTAAAAGAGCATCGAAACCATGACTTCTGGGGGTCTCTTGGCTCTTTGAGAGTTCCTCCCACCGCTTTCAGTTGTTTAGTTTGCAGAATCACTAGGCTGTACTTGTAGAAATGGTTTTCCGGGCTCTTGGAGCTTCAAACCCTGTGACCCGTTCCCTTAGATGTAGAGTGTAGGGGGGTGGCCTTTTGAAGAAACATCAATTGTATCTTAGTGGCTAGCCAGCAGTCTCAGGCCTGCTCCGGCCTCATTGACTTCTGAATTGGGGCCTGGACTGTGTGGGATAACTTGATGGGGAGGGAGGATCGCTTCCACTCCTGGGACTACCTTTTCCCTGCTTTCATGCAGTTCTGGGACTCTTGAGAAAGCAGGTAGGACAGGGCCTCTGGTTGTTGCCTAGGCTGCCTCATAGGACACCTGCTGAGTAGCGCCTTGTGGTTGAAGGAAAGCTGCAAGCTGTTGACCTTCAGGATCCCAGGCAAAGTCTGGGTGAAATTTGATGGGAAGCAGTGGGGTCTCGACTGAAACTAGGCTTTCATATTTGTGTGATGTAAGCAGGCCCAGAGTTGTATAAAACTTGGAAAAACCACTATTTTACCAGGAAGAGGTTCACTGCTGGGGAACAGACTTCAAAGTAGGTGATCATAGAGGACTCAGGGGGAGGGCTGGTGGGGACTTTCCGGTCAATACCTCACAGTGCAGCTGGTGGGGGTGGCTATGCAAAGATGTGGTTGGTGTGCACTCTGCTCCCCAGTAGGTTAACTGGGAGGCAGTGGTTGCTGGTTTAAGTTTTGGTGAGCGTGGATCAGGAAGGGACAGCAAGGATTTTGGTATGCCCCCAGGGCTTCAGCGGCCTTTGGTGTTATTCCTTGCTACCGTGTATTCACTAAAGTTATTTTTCATTTTAGACGCGCTCAGAAACATCTCAGCTGTTATTTTGGAAAAGTCAGCACCAGCCCACCTCATTTCCGAGCTCCTGAAAAATCTCGGTTATCAGCAGTACTTTTCTGGAGCCCCTCAACTTTCCCAAGCAACGATTCAGACCCCCAGGTCTCTGTCCAAATGTGTCTCTGTCTGCCCCTTCCTACAGTGGACTCAAAGTTTACAAGCTACCTGAGCCACAGCTCTGGTGTCTCAAAGGGATAGAAGGAATTAGTAGAAGCTTGCTCTTTTTATTGATGCATATTTGTCTAATAGCCATTCTGGGGGACATGGAGCCTATAAACCCTCACATTGGGGGGGGGGTGGGTTGGACATTGTTCCTTTCTATTCTTGCCTGACAGAACTTCCTTCTCTAAAAAAATCCATGAATTGAATGTTTGGAAATACCCCACGCTGAAATCCTCTTTAGCAAGGCCTTATCATGTCAAAGCCCTACAGGTGTGCTGGTAGAATTAATGAACTGAAAGTTCTGCAGATGAGTGGGGGGGCTGTTTGAGTTGTGGCTGTAACAGAAATACCAAAAATGAGGGGCCTTAATAGACAGTGATTTTCTCACAGTTTAAGAGAGAGGGTCGTTATGAATCAGAATCGACTGGACGGCAGTGAGCATGGTGATTTTGGTTTGAAGAGGCCAGCAGTCCGAATTCAGGGTGCCGGCTCTAGTGGCAGGCTCGCTCTAGACAAGGAAGGGAGGTCCTTGTCTCTTCTGGTCTGCTTTTGTGCCATCTTCTTGTGGTATGGCATCTCTGTTCCCTCATTTCCATTTACTTGCGGGCTTGTCCTAACCTGCTCTTTAATGTAAGCTCATTAGCATAACAAAAGCCACACATTCCCACATGGGCTATTAACCATCCGCGCAGAGGTTAGGATTTACAACACATTTGTTTGGGGAACACAATTCTATCCAGAATGGAGGCTAACTCAACATCTGAGGGGACCCTGGACCTGGAGAAAAGTCGCAGGGGACGAAAAAGGAGTGGAATTCAAGGAGGACTAGAGCATGCAATGCAGTTTGTGTGGACTCCATGACGTGTGGAGTTCTGTGGTGCCCTCAGTAACATATCTTTCTTCATCTGTTTCTGGGAGGGCAGACTGCTTTTCTTGGGTTGTAGAGCTGGTAGGCAAAAGGCTCCTGATATAGAGCCCAGTGTCTGCCTTAAAAAGGAAACAGTTTTTTTGAAGTTGCTGTTGAGTCTGTTCTGTCTCATAGTAACCCTGTAGGGCAGAGTAGGAGGACTTTCTTTGTTTCTGCTGGTGGAGTGGAACTGCCAGTGTTCGAAATTAGCAGCCTATCGCTTAATCATTGGCCACCAGGGTTCCTTGGAGTTTGGTTTAGGGGAACAATTTAAAGATCAAGAGGGAAATTTGGGAATCTCTGGATCCAGGTTGAGCAGCAAGGGACAACCAGGCAATTTTGGGGGAAGTATAAGTTTAGCATGGTTTCCTGGAATGATGAGGGGGGACTTTAGGGGAAAAAAGAGCAAGGTGGTATTAACTGTATGCCCCAGCTCTTTATCAATGGCTAATGAGGGGATGTTCTCAGGAAGCCTCCTTTCAATTTGAGTGGAATAACTTGGAGGGGAGGGAAGGTCGCTGCACATTCATCCCTGGGGCTATATTTTCCCTGCTATGATACAGGTCTGGAGCTCTTGGGAAAACAGACAGGGTAGGACCTTCGGTTGTTGCCTGGGTCAGCTCAGAAGACAACTGGAGGGGAGGGTTTATATCAGCCCAGGCTTCTCTCGTTTCAGGGTTGACAGGACTAAACTAAACCTGGGAGCATTTATTTAATTTCCTGCCTTGAAGGTGGGCACTGTGATTGCTACGGTGAAATCATTTGGTTCCTACTTGCAGGTGAGGTACTTGGGTTGGTTGGCTGTCTTGAAGAACTGCATGCCTCTTCACCCTGGGAGTTTTGTGTTCCTCTAGTCCCTATTTTAAGGAACCCTGGTGGCTCTGTAGGTTAAGCATTGGGCCGATAACCACAAGGCTGGAGGTTCAAATCTACTAACCTCTTCATGGGATAGAGATGAGGTCGTCTGCTCTAGTAACGAGTGATAGTCTTGGAAAACTCAAGGAGCAGTACTACTCTCTGTCCCATAGGGATTCTGTGACTGGATAGCACTGAGTTGGTTGGTTGGAATCCTACTCCCTCTAATTCCCATTTTACTGATAGAAAACTGAGAATTGGAATGATGCGATCTCCATCAGCATCTGGGCAAATGCTTTCAGTGGAAGTTGATTTGTAAGCGTGTTGGAGGATGAGTGCAAGTTGCAGAACTTGTCCCTCAACTCGATCATTGCCCCCTTTTCCTCTCCCTGAACTTTTCCAGTTTCACCCCCCACCCCCCACCCCCAGGCAGCACTTTGTGGAAAGAGATTGGTATGTAGTATGTATGTGCTTGTCAGATATGTGTTGGACTGCTAACCCCATGGCCTTTATTTTAATTTTTAATCCCATGGCCTTTAGTTCAAAGCCACCAGCTCTTCCACTGAAGAAAAATGAAGCTATCTGTTCTTGTAAAGATGGACAGCCCCAGAAACCCTACATAGGGTCACCGTGTGTCAGAACTGACTTGATGGTAGTGGTTCGGGTTTGTTTAGGGTGTATTTTAATGTTATTTACTTAACCAGAGACAAAATTTAAAGGGTACAACGGTGAAAAGTCTCTCACACCTCTCACCCAGCCACCCTAGAGTCAACTAATGTTATCTACTGTAGTCTCCCAGAGATATTCTATACATATATAAGCAGATATGTTTTTCAAAGAATACATCTGTTTTTAAAACACAAATGGTAGCCTATAATTCACATTAGTCTTCATCTTGCTTTCTATACTTTGTAAGAAA